GGTGTAGGGTAGGTAGGTAGGTAGGTGTAGGGCAGGTAGGCAGGTAGGTAGGTAGGTGTGGTAGGTAGGTAGGTAGGTAGGTAGGTAGGTAGGTAGGTAGGTAGGCAGGTAGGTAGGTAGGTAGGCAGGGAGGCAGGGAGGCAGGTAGGTAGGGAGGCAGGTAGGTAGGTAGGTAGGTAGGTAGGTAGGTAGGGAAGGTAGGTAGGCAGGTAGGCAGGTAGTAGTCGTAGGTCGTTGTAGTAGCAGTCGGTAGCAGAAGTCGTAGTAGTCGTCGTAGTATACTACTACCGTAAACCCTAAACCCTACCACTACTACCACCACCACCACTGTGTAGTAGTTGTTGTTGTCAGGCTGAGCGATACCCTAAACCCTCGACCTGGACCTAGGGCCACTTACGGATTGGGAGCCTGTTTAGGGACTTAGGATTTAGGGATTTAGGGATTTAGGTTTAGGGTTTAGGGTTTAGGGCTTAGGGTTTAGGGCTTAGGGTTTATGGCTTAGGGGTTTAGGAGCTCAAGCCCCAAACTTCAAAGATATTCAGCGGACATCTGTGGGCCTGTGTAGCGAGAGGGTCGAGTAGTGAGTGATATGTAGGGTCTTGCACGAAGTTTGTGGAAGGTCGTGCATGTTTTCCTGCTGCTCTGCCAGTAGCAGCTCATCTTCTGATCACCAATGCAAAATTGAAATCCAAATTTCAAGCCTCACCCTAAGCCTTAAACCCCCAAAGCCCTAAGCCCTAAACCCTAGCCCTAACCCCTAAACCCCTAAACCCCAAAACCCTAAACCCCTAAAGCCCCAAAACAGCAGCTCCAGCCTGGCGGAGACGTGGGCAAGCTTACCCAAGTAGCCGGCCGTCTCCTGTTTTCGGGGGCTTAGGGTTTAGGGTTTTCGGTTTAGGGTTTAGGGGGCTTTTCGCGCTGAGAGCACATGGGTCCCCGTTTTATTTCCCAAACATCTTTCGGCACCCTTATAGAAAGGAACCCCGAAAGGAACCCTCAGTTAGAGAACTACCCACATGAATTCAGGGCCTACGGACTATGGGTTTCGGGTGCAGGGTTTCGGGTTGAGGGTTTAGGGATTAGGCTGGAGGTCCGCTGCCGACTCCTTATATGAGAGCACGGTTTTTGTAAGGGCAGTTGTGGAACCTAAGAGGGGTCCTGTAAGATGACCCCTTTACGTCTTAGTCTTAGGTATGCCTAGTCCATACGCTGTTTGCTGATGTATGTCTTGGTGTTTGCAAACCTTCGCCACTCCGGAAAGCTACACAGAACTCGAGTTCGCTGGTTGCTTCCCGACACCGAGGAAATGCAATATCAATATTGGGCTGATTACTGCTATCAACTCTCGTCACAAGGTCGGGTGTTGGCCCCTGAACCCTAAACTAAACACTAAGACGGTCCTGTAGAAGATCCCAAGGCAGCTCCATGTTCGCATCGGCAATGGCCAAAGACACCCGCAGACGGTTTGCGTGGGAATCTGGATGCGGATCGGTGATGCCTAGCAGATCAGGATGGACGATCTGGCCAACTCTTCTTCTGGCCACTCTACAATTCATGGTTCTTGCTTCTTCTTAAGAACCGACGATGCGGCTTAACTGTTACTTTCAAGAGCGGCCCGTAAAGTAGTTAAATTAAGCCCTGATCCTAAGCTGCTCTCCCTCTCTAAATCTAGCTCTCAAGTCTAGGCTGCCAACTTGCAGCATGAGTTCAGACGGCAAAACCTGCAGTTCCGGAAAGGTACAGTATTCGAGTATGCACAGCCAGGTAGTAACACTAAGACAAGGCACGGCCCAAGCCCCTGAAGATTTGCATCTCGTCATCTTCAAACTTGCTGTCCGTTCCCACGGCGCTGACCAAGCCAGCGACGCCACGATAGTCGCGGTGCATCCAGCGCAACATCATCCTCGAGCTTAATTAAGGGGTTTTGGAGTCTCTGGGAAGGTATGGCCTCATTTAGCGGTTTTACTCTAAACCCTACATCCGACAAGTCTAGCGTCTTGACAAAAGCCCTGGAAAACTATCACTACGCCCTACTGGTTTCTGGGCTCCAAACATACCCCTGAGCCGAAGCACTCCAAAGCCCACGGGAGCGGTGGGCGAAAACCAAATACTACGGCTCATGATAGAAATCCTGCATTACCCATAATGTAGGAATATTACCATAATTCCCATAGTTTAGGGCCCTTAAGGTCATGCAGGATTTATATCATCAACACTACGTCGAGAACCCTAAACCCTAAACCCAAAAGGATTGGAGGATCGAAGGTTCAAGGACTACAGGGCTTATAGGTTTTGGGGGTTCTTCTAATTGAATGGTTTAGGGTTTAGGGGGTTTAGGGTTCAGGGAATTAGGGTATTAGGGTTTAGGGTCTAATTGAATATTGAATACAAGCATCATGTACAAAGCCGAGGCAAGCGTTGGCGTCTGGAGGAACGATCGCGAGGCATGGATGGGGTATAAGAAGGTCTTGTTCTTTGCAGCTGCCCACCAGTCTGTGTTTCCACGCTCCATGACGAGCTCCGTGGAGAAAGGATCTGTGGAGACGTGGGGTCTGTGCACCTGGCTGGCTCTTTCTGCGGCACGGCCCCTCCAAACTCTAAGCCCTAAGCCCTGAACCGACAGACCTCGATCGGTCGAAACATGCGAAGCCTGGCTTCTCCAACTCCCCCAGAAATTCTGATATGCGGAAGCCTAGCCTAGTGCCCTAAGCAAGAAGCCTCAGAGCCCGAAGACCACAAGGTGTATGTGTATGACAACTTAGGGTTCAGGGTTTAGGGTTTGGGGTTCAGGGTTCAGGGTTCAGGGTTTAGGTGCCTATTTTGAGCCTTGGGGTAAATGTGTCGACCTGGCGAGTGATGAGGTTCAGGGCTTATCAAGTGTGCAGCAGGGCCCAAGGCACCTTGATGTTGGGCAGAAGTGCGAAGAACTGCGCGTTCGCCGTCTGTAGCAGCCTGGGCTTTTGTTGGCCAATATGTAGGTTCTCGTTCATGAGTATACGATTGAGGATTTGTACCATGCTTAATCCAAGCTCTTATCCGTATAGACACCCTAAACCCTATAAACCCTAAACCCTAAACCCCTACACCCTAAACCCTAAATAGCGACCCAGCAGCAAGGAGTGGGGCATTGGCTCCAAGAGTTTCGCAGCCTGCGTCCGCGCAAAGGTCGGAGGACCCAGTGGCACCGAGAGCTCCGCATGATCCAAACTCCACAAACCTCGGTGAGTGCGCCAGTCAAAGCCAACTCTCAGTCTCACTCTCTCTCTCTCTCTCTCTCTCTCTCTCTCTCGCTCTCGCTCTCTCTCCGTCTCTCTCTTTTATTGGTATATGTATTATGTACATACCTTCACGATCTACCTATTTATCTATCTATCTATCTATCTGTCTATCTATCTATCCATCAATAGATCTATCTATTTATACACATATGCATAAACTGTACATAAACATATACATGTGCATACCCATATACATGTACACATATATAAACACACATGCGTACGTACTACCTCCTCATATATAGATAGATAGCTGGTTAGATTGTTAGATTGTTAGATAGATAGACAGATAGATAGATAGATAGATAGATAGGTAGGTAAATAGATACACAGATAGACAGATAGATAGATAGACAGTTAGATAGTTCGATAGATAGATAGATAGATAGATAGATAGATAGATCGATCGATGGATCGATACATCGATGGATAGACAGATCGATGGATAGACAGGTAGATAGATATAGAAGATCGGTAGACAGATATGTGCATAAGTAAATGCATGTATATACTTGTACAAATATCTTTTTTACCAATAGAAGCCAAGGTCACAGGTGGTTTCTTTTCGGCCCAGCATAAGCCCCTATACGACTGAATCCAAGGCGCCGGACTTCGTGTCAAGATGTGATCGGGTTTGGTTGCTTTAACATGATGACGGGGGTTTGGGCAGGCTTTGGGGGAATATAGGCTTGAGGGACAAGGCCAAACCCTGCAGCAAAGGCTGCAACCTCACAGAGAGCCCAGTTGTAGAAGAGCCGTTGTTAAAGAACCGTTGACAAATCAAGAGCCCGAAAACAAAACTCCGCCCCAAACCTAAACCCCACCAAGTTGTTGTTCTCCGAGGCACCGCGCGTGCCATCAGGAGCTTTCTTCACCGCGAAGGACAGCAGCAGGCGTGGCATTTCCTTACTACAGGGGCCTGGATGATTAGAATAGGGTCTGGTGGGGCATGTTATGGTACGTTCACAAGAAAAAGAACCCGGAGAAACAATATTGGTAACTAACTGATAATTCAGGCCGGCCTATCGCTTACTATCCAGGCTTCTGGAGAAATTTATGTACACCCCACCCAGGCTGGTGTGTTTACAGGGCTCTCAGGTTTTTCAGGTCTGTATAGGTGTCTGAACAGTATAAACGGCGCCTTATGAGGGTACGGGTTCCCCGTAACATGTCTATTCACCCCAAGCTTCAGCAATCGGTCGTGTGGTTTAGGGTTCAGCTGAGGCTTGAGGGGTGAGTGCCTGCAAACCTGAAGCTCCCACACAACTTCTTGAAGCAAACCCAGCAAGCTGCGAGACATCAACTAGAAGCCCTTACTAACACGTAACCCCTAAGCCCTGAACCCTGAACACAAAGGCCGGTGAGCCGGCATCCGGAGAACAGAGCTATTGGAGGCACGAAGAATCGTCAGGTAAAAACCGTGTTATCTCAGGGGCATTAACAACTAGAAAAGGGTTTGAGAGGGGACTGCCAAACTATACTTGCAAATGAAGTATAACCGCATACAAACACTACTTCCAACCCCGATACTAGCTTGAACAAGGCTCAAGGCAGAATCTCCGATCCAAGTACTGATAAGAACTGAGTTGCCCCTGCGAGTCAACCACGCAGACCTGGACCTCACACTAAAACCTTGCACTTTATGCTTCTAGAAAGATATGGGGGGGGGTCCGACAATAGGGGACCCTAATGTAGTACCCTAAACAGTAGGATCCTTTTTTAAAGGACCCTCAAAATAAGGTACCCTAATTTTCGGAGAGTCCCATAGTACCACCAGCAGACCCTGAACCCCTAAGCCCCTCCAAACCCAGAACCCTGGACCCCTACTTGGATCTGGAGGGGAAGGAGTCGGAAACTGAACCACGACAGAAAGGCATCGTAAGCCTCTGCACGATTTCACCCCCTGCCGACGCCTGTACATTGAAGCCTCGACTACAGAGCCGAGTCTACAGACTTGGAAACTCTCAGAAGAGGCCTAAATAGCTTGAGTAGGGCCCTGGGGCATATTATGTTGTAAGATAGTTGTATGCGAACTACAAGGGGTAGCATTACAAGACATTAAGACCTCTCTAGTACGGTTTTGGAATCCTGCACATTTTCGAAGACTAAACAGGCTTAACCCCAAGCCCGATTTTCGGAACCCGGAGGAGTAAGCCCTCAATAAATAACGCTCCTAAGGGTTTCGGGTAGGTCAAGGGCCCATAAAACAGTCAGCCGTCCTAGGCCCTAAACCCTAAACTTATAAACCCTTTTTACAGCAGGCCTCGTACACAGTAGCCCGGTCCCCAGCATCACTCGCTCACTGTAAACCCTAAACCCTCTAAGGCTTAGACAAGCATCGATGAGGTGAATTGGAGGATCGCGCCCAGCATTGCTCCCCAGCTCGCGTGGGTCCTGACCCGTGCCCCGCTTCTTGAGGAGCCGTAAAACCTATACAGTTTAGGGTTTAGGGTTTAAAACCTATAAGCCCCATAGCCCCAGCAGAGCTTTGCTTAAGGTTCCGGAAAACTCTAAGACTCTAAGCATCTCGAAACCCTGAACGTTAAAATCCCTGCAGGAAGCCCCTCAAACCCCATGTAGTAGATTTGGGTTGTTCGGCTCGTTTCCAACTGCCAAAGATCAGGCAACGTTCCGGGTGTGCGGCTGGAGAGGGTTTTCGTGGCTGCAGTGGGGATTCATTTGCATTTATTAAGGCCTGTGAGTAAGATGTTATATACATATATACACACCTGTTAGTTGTCACGTGTAACGTCTTGGGGATGGGGCTTCAAAGGACCTGGGGGCATAATTGACCCTAAACCCGAAACCCCAAAACCTACCTTTTTAGGGCTCCTTATTAAGATTTCGTTCTATAAGTCCTCAAACAGGTAGGCTATTAGGGGTTAAG